TTTGAGATTAAAACACATGGGTCAAGGAGGGATTCTGGTCCAATCAGCTTAGTAGTGAATGCTTGTGCAAGCAGGGATGTTAGGGAGAATATTGTGGGGTTATGTTTTATCGCCCAGGACATAACTATCCAGAAGAGTATTATGGACAAGTTCACCCGAATTCAAGGTGATTACAGAGCTATTATACAAAATCCCAACCCGTTGATCCCTCCAATATTTGGCATTGATGAATTTGGCTGGTGTTCAGAGTGGAATTCTGCAATGACAAAATTGTCAGGCTGGAGTAGAGAGGATGTTATTAATAAAATGCTTTTGGGGGAGGTTTTTGGGGCACATACAGCTTGCTGCCGTCTTAAGAATCAAGAAGCTTTTGTAAATCTTAGTATTGCTCTCAACAAGGTTATAACAGGTCAAGAATCTGAAAAAGTTACATTCGGTTTTTTGTCAAGGAGTGGGAAGTACGTGGAGTGTCTGCTTTGTGTGAGCAAAAAGATGGATGGGGAAGATGCAGTAACCGGTGTCTTTTGCTTCCTGCAACTTGCTAGTCAAGAGCTACAACAAGCACTTCATGTTCAATGCTTATCAGAGCAAATTGCAGTTAAGAGATCGAAAGCCTTAGCTTACATAAGACAGCAAGTTAAGAATCCTCTTTGTGGGATTATATTTTCGCGGAAGATGATAGAAGGAACTGACCTTGATGAAGAGCAGAAAAAACTCCTGAGTACTAGTTCTCATTGTCAGCATCAGCTCAGCAAAATTCTTGATGACACAGATCTTGATGTCATCATTGATGGGTAAAGTTTATTTCAAACTCCAATTAGTTAGTTTTGTGCTTTTGCGGCATTGAGCCCTTTTTTTTTCATGCTTTATCTGCTTCATGCCCTTGTCTGCAATCTGTGATTATTGGACAAAATCTTGAAGAATATCGACATTTTAGGTACACATATCTAATACTTGGAAGAAATCGAAAGTGTGCTACAGTGGTCTTTCCTTAATTTTTTGCTGAGCTTTCCCATAAAAATCTACAGAAAAATGAGACTGATGTGTTCATTCAATGTCTTAGATATGTGTCATCTATAAGGAAGATTTACTGGTTTGAATCTCAATTGTTCTCTGATTTGTTTGGTCAAAGGCTCTCTACACTTGTTTGATCATGTACTCCCCTCCTCATTTTCTGTCAAGTCAATTGTTCTGAAGTGCATAATATGCATTCAGGTCATCGTGATGATTTGAACTTTTTATGTAATATTTCTAAAGAAGTAGATTGTATAATTTGGAAGGGCATTGCATCCTCTGGATTGTTTTCTTTTATCATCATTTAATGATAATACTTTATAAACTTAAGCAAGTTTTCGCTTGCTCATCAGGTACATGTATCTGGAAATGGTGGAATTTAAGTTACATGATGTATTGATAGCTTCCATTAGCCAAATCATGATAAAGAGCAACAGAAAGGGTATTATGATAGTTGACAATTTGGACAAAAAACTATCAGCTGAAACACTTTATGGAGATGGTCTAAGGCTTCAACAAGTCCTGGCGGATTTCTTGTTAATATCAGTTAATTTTACACCAAGCGGAGGCCAGCTTGGTGTTGCGGCCGACTTGACCAAAGATTCCTTAGGTGAATCTGTTCAGCTTGCTCATCTGGTATTCAGGTACGAGCCAAACATGAACCTACAATATTTTTGCAGGTTTTTCTAGATTATAGGTTTTCTGGAATGCTTAATTTTTCATTGACTTGTGCAGTTTGCAATATACATGATATATAAAGCGTAAGTGGGGGCTTTTGTTCCCTTCCCTTGGTTAAAATGCCCCTCCTCATCTGTTAGCATTATAATAGCTGCATCAGTTTAGCATTTTCATATTTACTTTGGATCATTAGCATCTAGTGATTTTTCCATGCTTCAACGTTTCAAAATTTTGTAGCTACTTTCATACAAGACTTTGTAAGAGAACTCACGTTCCTCAATTTTCTGTGCAACGGTGTAGCCATCTATCAAAAAAAACTGATATCGTTAAAAATGAAGTCTTCTAAGGTTAAATGGAAAGAGGAGGACTCTGTACTTTTGTCGTTGGTATATTAATTAATGAGATAATGAATTTTGATATGGATCGATGGATATTGAATAATTTGATGACCATATCCACATCTGGTGAATAGACTAGTATGTTGTTTGCTTTTGGCTGGATTGTGATTCAAATTGTTGAGCTCTACGTCTGATGCAGGATATCACATACAGGCGGTGGGGTACCAGAACAATTGCTGAGCCAAATGTTTGGGAGTGCTACAGAAGCATCTGAGGAGGGCATCAGCATGCTTATCAGCAGAAAATTAGTGAAGCTTATGAACGGAGATGTCCAGTATCTAAGGGAGGCAGGAAGATCAACCTTTATCATATCTGTTGAACTTGCAGTTGCTAACAAACCTCGTGCATGAACATAATCATGTGGATTATGATAAAATTCTCAGTGAAATAGTTGAGAATTGGAGTTTCTATGTGATGACATGTCATGCAATGCTCTTACTTCTTACTGTGGCTTTTCTTGTCTGTGACAAAGTCGCCTTTAGTTTTGCGTTGTAAATATGCACGACTCTGATTTTGGCAAGCTTTTCTGGAACAATAAAATGGGAATCTTTTCTTCTATTATTCAAGTTCTGACCTGTATATACAAGCTGTGCTTCACATTAACAATCGGATTTTGTACTGTTTCAAAACATTTTCCGATTCCCAAAAAAAAAAAAGGATCAAATATACATTTATTAGCCCTTCAAAACAAATCCCAGATGCTTCAGTTTCATGTGACAGTCGTCTTCTAATTCTTTGGTGAAAACCTGGACTTGATTTTCTCAACTTCCTTGGTACCAACTTGGAATGCCTTTGTCAAAACATTGTCTGGCACAGGTGGTGAAGCAGCAAACAATGTGGTTGCTATGGACTGAGTTCCAGGCAACTGACTGTTGAACGAGGCAATTACTGCAGCTGGAACATTGCCATTGTTCTTCTGGAAGTGGACTAGACCTTTGGGGAACACAAATATTTCACCTTTCTTAATAGACTTGGAATACATGACATTGGCTGTGGTAATGAAACCAACATCCAATTCACCTTCTAGTACAAACACCATTTCAGTGGCTCGAGGGTGGGTGTGGGGTGGATTTAGGCCTCCGGGGGCATAGTCGATCCGGGAGAGGGAGACGCCCAAGGTATTAAGGCCAGGTATTCTTTGGACATTGGCTCCGGTCACCAGTGACCCCATTGAATTGTTGGTGGCTCCTGGCTTGGCAAGCTCAGCGGAGAAGAAGTCCTCAGCTGTCACGTTTGACTTGCAAGCAAAGCCATTCACCTTCACAGCTATTCATTTGTACAAATGAAATTCAAGACTATGTTTGGCTCATGTTTATTAGTGTTCATCATTCAGTTACTTTTTAGCAACAAATTTCGAGAGATTCAGAACTACTATTCACTTTTTCTTCACTCATTTCTATTTATTTATAATTCAATTTGTTATAAATACTTCCCTAACATGTTTTAATGTTAGGAAACACTTAAAAAAGAAGAAGAATGCATATATAAGGAGATTTTAGAAATTTCAAAATTGTTACACATTGATTAGGGGAAAAATTATATTAACATTGCAGTTTTTTGTTTTTGTTTATTGTCGAACTTATGTCTCAAACATTTTTTCATCACATTCTTATAATTAACCTTCAACTTCAATCAATTCCATCATCTTCTATGTGACAACACTTTCTATCCACAAAGAATTAAAGTTAATTGTGGGCTCAACTAAAATTGAAAATAGGATATGATTCAAAACTGATCCAATGGTCATCCCACAAGTTGCATGATGAAAATTTTCAACCAAGTGTCATCAGCTAGTTGGTCTGTTATTAAGAGAACCCCATCATTCAAATAAGCCCCAGTTTAGTTTTAACTTAAAAATAATTTTTTTAGTAATTTTTAAAAAAAAAATAATAATAAAATGCTTGATTGAAAAGCTGACAAAAATTGTTGATCCCATAAAATGTATTCTTAAAATTAATTTTTGACTTTAACTTAGATTTTTATCTTCTTTTTAAATTATACCAAACAAGTTTAGCATCGGTTTGGTCCCCATTTTTTCAAGAATTCATTTTTTCGAAACTCATTTTCAACTATACATTCTTCAAAAACACATTTTTCTCTAAAAATGGGGGCTCAAACAAGCCCTTTTAAGTCAGAAAATCAGCTACACAAGAGAGTCAATGCCAAATATCCAAAGGAACAAGAAAAATAAAAATAAAAATAAATAAATAAAATTAAGGATAATCTGACATGATTGTTATTCTTCAATGTATATCGAGCTAATTACTAAACAAAAATGGCTATTGTCTATTGAATAACTACAGAGACAATGTTAGGCATTCAGTAAGAAGCACAGAAGAGCTTATTTCATGCAAGAAATTTCTGACAACTGTAAATACTTAACGAAAGTGAAAATTTAATGAATATTCTGCATACCAGAAGTGAGATCAGCTACACAAAGATCTTGAAGCATGTCTGGATCAGCAGACACACTGATTAAGATTACCATAGCCATCATTAATACTATCAAACTACCAAAAGCAGCCATCTTATCTTTTATATATGAAGGCTGAAAAGGAAGTAATGATAAAGCAGATTACAGGAAGAAACAAACAAATGTTGGTTCATTCATTCATATTTATAATACGAAAAAGCTATTCGTACCTGAACTTCTACCCGTTGGTTTACCATGTGACGTGTAATGGTTGCTTTTTCATTTTTTTTCCAAGCAAAAAATGGCAGCACGTTTGGGCCGGGTTTTACACTTGGGCCGATTCATTAAATCCGTCAATCAGTACCCGCATGAAGGAGTGCCGGGTTATTCAAATAATTAGTCAGAACATTGCCCGCGAGATCTCTTGTTTCCAAAAAATTGAAACCCAATAGCACGGCCATAACTCGTCGCCGGCGCAACAAATATTTCATTTTGAAGCAATCGCCGGCACCATCAATTCGAATAGATGACAGACAAAGGTGGGTTATTTTTTAAACGTTTTCTAATGTGGTTTGAAGCCGATTTCTACTTAAAAATCCATCATCGAGCACTGATTTTTCTATGTTAATGTTGTTGCTTATCTACGGCATGGAAAATGACCCCATTATTACATTAACCATGGCAATAGCTAGCTGACGGGAAATAATTAAGGTTTCCTTTTGTTAACTAGATATTATCTGAGGATGTATTTGGCTAAGTATGGAAGTAATGATGGAAAGAAAGAGTTAATGAGTAGCAACTTGTGTTGTATTCTTTTGAGTATAATTATTGTAATGTGCAGTTAAGGAGTGTTAACACATGGGGTACCAATTAAATTGGTTGCTATGTCTACGAAGTTGAAGGATTTCAACAATAACCAAAAGCTGATACGAAATTGCAAAATGAGAGTAGTGTCAGATTATGTAAAGGTCTCTCACCTGAACCATAACGCCGCAAGTCAAGATACCACCAATAGCTCTCCTTGTTGATGTGTTATTTCATTTACTAATTACAGTAATCTGAGTTAAACATCTTCAATTTTTTGAGAATAATTGATTTATCTAAGTTGCCTTATCTGTAATTTGTCTGAGTTATTAATCTCAATTTTTTGAGAATAGTTGATTTATCTAAGTTGCCTTATCTGCAATTTGTGAAACCTAGATGCATACAACACTGTTTATTTCAATTCAATATTTGTTCCGTGAAATGACTTGTAATATTTTTGTTATTTTTATTTCAGGTAAAAATAATTTGGAAGAGGAAGACGACGTCGTTCTACTAGAAGGCGAAAATGACAACATTTTCAATAGTGCAAAGTTCGTCGATGATGGAATTGTAGGAGTAGACAATGTCATTGTGCCTGAGGTGGGTATGAAGTTCAATGATGAAAAAGAAATGTTTGATTTCTACAAAAGATATGCGTACGACGTTGGATTTCCAGTTAGGAAAAGAAATTCTCAAAAGGATGATGCCGGAGTTGTGAGATATGTAGTGCTGACATGCAGCCGTGAAGGCCGAAGAAGTAGTACTTCGAGCAGTTCTTTGAAGCCGCAAGCTACCATTCAGATAGATTGCAAAGCAAGGATAACTGGATCTTCAGATGCTTGTGGAATATGGAGAATAAACACAGTCCATCTCATTCATAATCATAAAACAAGTCCTTCGAAGTCTAGGATGTATCGCTGCAACCGAGAATTGAGTGCCCATGTTAAACGACGGCTTGAAGTGAACGACATGGCGGGGATTCCGTTGCACAAAAGTTACAACTCCGCAGTTGTAGAAGCAGGGGGATATGAGAATATGACTTGCGTGGAAAAAGATTGTCGGAACTATGTTGAACACGTGAGGCGGTTAAGACTCGGAGAAGGAGATGCTGCTGCAATACAAGCCTATTTTTCGAACATGCAAGCCAGGTGCGATGGTTTTTACTTCAGTATGGATTTAGATGAAGAGTTGAGGCTAAAGAATATTTTCTGGGCAGATAATAGGAGTAGGCAAGCGTATAAAGAGTTTGGTGATGTTGTATGTAAACTATGCTGCATGGATACTAATAAGTACGACATGTCGTTTGCGCCTTTTGGTAGAGGTAATCATCATGGACAATCAATACTTTTTGGTTGTGGGTTGGTGTCGAACGAGAATACAGAAACATTTGTGTGGCTTTTCAAGAGGTGGCTTGAGTGTATGCATGGGCAAGCTCCTATTGGGATTATTACCGATCAAGACAGGGCCATGCAGAATGCAATTCAAATCGTGTTCCCGACCACAAAACACAGATGGTGTTTATGGCATATAATGAAGAAGTTGCCAGAGAAATTTGGATACCACATCGAAAAGGGTGAGATCTTTTCTACTATACACGTACTAGTATATGATTCTCAAACTGTTGACGCATTTGAAAAGGGTTGGAGAGCGATGGTTGACAAGTATTCCTTGCAATATAATGAGTGGTTGTCGGGAATGTATGCGAACAGAGGTCGGTGGGTACCTTGTTTTTTAAAAACCAGCTTCTGGGCGGGAATGTCAACAACTCAGCGTAGTGAAAGTATGAATGCGTTCTTCGATGGGTATGTGCACTCGAAAACGTCGCTGAAACAATTTGTGGAACAATACGAGAGAGCATTGAGGAATAAGGTAGAGAAGGAGTTTCAAGCCGATTTTAAATCATTCTCACAAATGGTACCCTCTGCAACAAAATATGAGTTGGAGAAACAATTTCAACAAGTTTACACCATTTCAAAATTTCGGGAAGTTCAAGATCAATTCATTGGGAAGGTTTATTGCGACCTCATATCTTGGTCGGAGGGTTTTTCGGGCACAACATATGAGGTACTGGAGGATGTCATTCTTGAACACTGCATTAAGAAGCAAAAGTTTTTCGTGACATTCGAAAGACATAAATGCAACGTTGTGTGCAGTTGCCACTTATTCGAGTTTCGAGGTATAATTTGTAGGCACGCGATCTCTGTTCTTCTACGTAATAACGTCTCAAGATTACCGGACACATATATATTAAGGAGATGGAGACGAGATGTTCGTAGAGCTCACACCAGGGTCGCCGTGAACTACGATGGTTTGAGTAGCACCCCTTCCCAATTGAAATATGACAAGATGTGTCAATCATTTGCGTCACTTGCAGACATGGCTACAGATGACGATAATCGATTCCACGAAGTACTGAAGTGGATAGAATCCACAAAACTCTCATTTAGTACAACATCCGGTTGTGGAAGTAATGACATGTCACAGCATGTATTTCAAATTTCGTCAGGTGGTGGAGCATCGCAACAAAATAGCAATTCTGATATACAAGATCCAAAATGCTCGAAGAGAAAAGGCGCGCCTAAGAAACTTCGCAACAAAAGCCCGTTGGAATACTTTTCATCCAGTAATGCAAAGGTATGTGACCAAATTTTTTTTTTTTCATAATATCGTGTGTATGTGTAGTTATTATCTTGTTGATTATGCAGTCACGTGCGACTTCAACTAAGGGAACGAAACGGAAAGCAGGCCCAAGTAAACTAGGAGAGGTTGAACCGGTCGCACAGGCACACGATCAACTACTGATTGAAGATATGCCGGCACAACTCTCATATTCACAGCTTCTAATGGTTCGTCTACTTCCATTCACCAATATTTTTCATTCCCACATTTTACTTACATAACTAAATTTGTGTAGGGTGATGGCGACAATCATGTATTTCCACAACAAGGAATATCTCCAAATTTCTTCCCGTCGGCTTCATTATTCAATGGTCAAGGTATGCGGTTAAACATAACGAATTTATTTCCAAGTCATACTCTAGTTTGCCTAATAAATTCATTATTTGATAATAGGAAATGCAATATCGCACTATTATCCAAATGCACCTCACCAACGTGGCGGAAACATGTGAAGACTAACCTAACAAATGGAGTGAATGGATATGCTTCTGAGGCCTGACTGTGGAACCCTTGCATCAGTAGAAACTGACTGTAAGCCATCAGTTCCAATTATAGGTGAAGCTTTGTTTTTTGCTATTCGAGTATTGCTCGCAAGAAGTCTTCGCAGATCAAGTATTCCTCTTAGTTTGAATTCTGTGTTTGTTTTAGTAGTCGGTTGTCAATATGGTGGTGTTATAAATTTCGAAGGTGATTTGAATAAGTTGGAGTTTGATGTAAATAATGTGTATGAATGTTCTGCTAAAGTATTGATATGATGAAGATTCTGATGGATGCAATTGCATTCTGCCCTATTTAGGATACCTCAATGGCTTATGCTTCTAACATAAAACTCAACCTTTTCTCTTAGGCTTTCTGCTGTTAATATTTGAACTGTAAGTTTGGATTTATTCTACTAATTAACTTCCTGCAATCTATGCATAGTATTGGAATATGTCTCTTGCAAGATCATTATATACTAAAAATTGCCACAAGGCTTCATAAACAATATCATTGCAAGACTACAAAGTGATTACAGTTTCTTCCCAAGCATAGATTACACTAGCATTGGTCACTTCACCAACTACACAACAAAACACATACTACACGTTCAAAATTGGTAGGGAACCACACAACCAATAATATAACTACTACTCATGCAATTCCCTTCCCCTTCTTATCCACTTCCGCACTTCCGTTGGCCTTGCGTATTGTCACGTTGAAGGAAATCTCAATACTTTTTTCTTCGGCTATCTGACAGAAGGATTCAAACAAGCGAGAAAACTGTTGAACTTCTTCGCCAAGCACGTTTGAGTTAACGGTAACGCTACTGGATCCGCCACTGGATTCTCCTTCGTCGACCCATTCCCAATATTTACAATTAGCACTGCAGCAATTAAACATCCGACCCTTGTTCTTTGTGTCCTTCTCGACCACAAAGCACTTCACAATGCCAATTTTACACCATGGACATGGCCGTTTTTTTGAGCAGTCAGCAAACAAGTGGCCCTTCTCTCGACAGCTATGACAAAGTCCATAGTTCTTTCCTGGCATACTGCACATGAACGAACCATATAAGTGCCTACATTACAACACATCCACAAAACACTGTAAAATCTTCAAAAATCCATATTATTCGAATAAATCAAAATCGAGTAAAGTGGATACCAAATACATCATGCTTACACGATGTTTGCTGCGAAATTCTGCCGGAGTCGATGGATGGTGTCGGATATTGAAGATGTTGTTGCGAAAAAATTACGATGCGATTAAAAGTAAATTATTAACCGGCGATTAAGCTACAGGTGGAAGCCCAAACATGGAGACTACTGAAATTACGTTAAGCACCGGCTGCGAGGTTGAGGAGTGCCGGATTTCGAATGCACGATGGAGGAGTGATGCAGCGAGATCGCGTTTCAAGGGTTTTCTGATTTGGGGATACCAACTGGGGGTAATGACTAATGGGAGCACTAATAATGGGCTGGAGCACTAATAATGGGCTGGGTCACGTTTGACCCATAAGTGTTGGTTTTTTTTCTTTTTTTTTTTTTAAAATAATTTGGAGCTTGACACGTCACCGTGTGAAGCTCAGTGTAAAACTGCAGGTACGAATAGCGCGATTG